TGCAAGGAAGATCAATAACCTTTGAAGGACCTAAATATAGACTAGACATGCAGACCATCTCAAAGCACAATAAAGTTTTTTCGTGTACGTGCAGCACCCAGCACAACTGAGCATTGATCTCATTGACCACTTTTGGCATCCAGAGACTGCCAAGAACAAACAAGCAGGCCGCACGAGCCCTATTGCATTCTCTGGCAGATTAGAGGCAATAGGCAAAGGAAATGCTTTATCTCTGAGGTCTGGATTAAAGGAGATGGCTGAAGATGGTCCCTAAGCAAGGAAAATCTGAATCAATGTTTTAGTCTTCCATTTCAACTCCACTGGTGGGAGCAATGAAGGAAGCTGTGCTGTAGATAAAGCAATGCTATTTTTAACACCTTGTTGTCTAAGATGTTGGCAAGACTGTTTGCCCCCTCCCTGCACTTGAGAGTCTCCTCTAATATCAGAATCCATTAGAAAGCATTACTCATGACCCTGATTCAGTCCAGCAGTTGCTTAAATTAAAGCACGAGTAATCCGATCTCTGTTTCATAAATCACACAAGCATGTGTCCAAGTCCAACTGAATTTGGTAGGATTTATACATGCACTTACTATATGGCTGAATACAGACTGGATTACTCACATGCTTAAAATTAAGCAGGAGGTTAAGTGCTTTGCTGAACTGAATCGAGACCCCCAACGATTATTTATTAAAAAGGGAATGTACTATGCTTCTCTAGTAACCTCCCCGCTACCTCCCAAGTCTAACAAAGGGGATAGAAGGGATGTATGTAAGGGTAAATCTTTGGAGTAGATCCAAGGGATACCAATGGAATGAGGTCCTTCCCAAGGGATGAGGCTGGAGAAGACGCTGCAGAGCCTCCTTTAGCCTTCGGGAATGAGTAGCTTTTGAGAAATCTCATGGGCTGTGGGGAGAGGTGGATGATTCTTTTCTGAGCCCTTCGGCTTAACTACCCACCTCTCAGCCCAGCTGTTCAGGCCAGATGCTGGGCACAGTATTTGCCCCTTAGCAAATGATAAGCAAAGGAAATAAACAGAAATGTATCCTGGTGTTGAAGCAGATCAATATTGTACCTAAATTCTATTATGTAGCTAAGAGGTATAAATTCCATGCACTTTCCTTGGAGAGCATCAATCTTGCAGCAGTTACCCAAGGCATATTTTACAGCAGAACAGTAAAGTCTTTACAGTCACAGCATAATTACAGTAACAGACCAGTATTTTAATATCATCTCTATGAAATTAAATTTTGTTTCCATGTCCAGTCAATAATTCTGTCTCATCTCCGTGATGAATAGAGCCTGGCGAATAATTTGTCATGAATAATTTATTCACTGCATTACACCTTTCGGCTCTTTCTGAACGGTTTTGTGAAGTTCTGGAGCGGATTCATTACATGCGCTCATGCAACAAATAATTCTTGCCTGCCGATCACTCAGAAGCAGTTTATTGCACATAGTGAAAAACTGCATTCCCCGGGTTATGCGGTATTTTTTCTGTTGTCTGAACGTGCTGGGAGGAGGGCGTGCTGAAGTAGCTTCAAAAAAGATAGGGTTCCTTCTTGCCCTGGCTGCAATCAGAGGTGTGTTGTAGCCCAGTTAGGTCCAGCTGAATTGCCTTTAATTTCACCAGCTCCAGTAAACAATGCAATAAATATGGGGGTGGCACCGGTTTTGGCCACCCAAGTAAGTGCCTAGAGTCCTGTGTGGACCTATAAGAAACTCTAGTGAAGGCCATCCATGTCTTCTCTGCATGGTTGACAAAGCTAGCAACATTGAAGATAGTTCAGGTAACCTCTAACCGCCCTGCAATCACACTTCAGATGAAACACACTTCAGTATAAACAGAGTCTTAGACTTGGGGAAAGAGATGCTCCCAATTGTTGCTTGCAGACCTCTGACAGCAGAGCAGGCCAGGGAAGCGTGTATGAACAAGCAGAAGAAAAAAAAAACAACCAGCCACCCAGCCAATATTTTTGAGAGGACAGGAGGTAAAGACCAGCACGAGATTCCACCAGAGACTTCAATGCAATGGAGAGCATAAAATAGGGCTAGCCACAGCTAAAGGTTTCAAGATGCCATCCAGCTTCTGTATTGTTGCATCTATCATATACAACGTGAACAGGGTGTTTATAGGCTTAGCTTGGCTGTCAATGCACAAGTTGTGTCTTGTCGCTTATTTTTATGGTAGGCAATCTCATCCATCTGAAAATATCTTAGTGGACTGTTGGAAATGACACTTGAAAAATACAGGCTGCAAATCAACATTCAGGGCTCCACCAGTGCTCTCTCCCTGGCCAAATTTTGAAAACAAAATTGAAATTCAGCTCGCAGCCACAAGAGAAACAATCTGACAAGCATAACACTTCCAGATAACCTGCCAATAATCATCTTCTGTGATCATACATCAGGCCTAGTATCTTGAACATGCAGAGAGAGTCATGATTAGAAGGGGGAAATCTGATACAGAAATGAAAAAAGGGAATAAATTAACTCCACAAAAAAGAGAATTTTTCAGAGATGAGTGGTTGTCACGACCTGGACCTCCTGATCACCTGGATAATAAATTAACACATCTTCACTTCGCCACTCATACAAATGGCATGTGCGCTCTATACTGATTGCAATACACACTTGAATCTACCCTTCACCCCTGGGAGTTGCCCCCCTTCCAGCCAAAGGAAGTACATGAATGACTGTTACTGAGTAGTTAAACCAGCAGTGTTCAACCCCTGGCCTGAAGGCCAGATCCATCCCACACAGCCATGTCATCCAGCAGGGGAATGATGGAAGTGTTAGCTGCCACTCCCCGCTGCCAAATTTTTGGCCCCACAGGGAGCCCTGTAAGTGAAATGACTTGGCTGCATGCATCATATTGCACTGGTGCACAGTCAGGCCAGTGTGCGGGGTTGCTCAACGGGCAGATCCAAGTGCACGGGTCCTCACTGCAGCTGGATTGTACCCGAAGACAGGGATGATGCATGATCCCTGTGCACCCCCTGAGCGTGGTGGTGCACCCCCTGCAAAAAGGTGCAGCCAACAGCCTGTGGGCGGTCACTGCTCACCGCCCCGCCATCGGCATCTGCGGGAAGTCCCTGATCACCTCTGCCCACCACTGCCAGTGGCGTCTGTGGGTAGTTGCTGACCCATAGCTGGAGTTCCCCACCCCACCCCCCACCACCGACAGTGCCAGCAGCGTCTGCGGGAGCTCCCCACTCCCCGCTGCCAGGCTCCCACCACTGCCAGTGCAGCCGTGCCCCCCCAGCTGCCGGGGGCACGCACCGTTCATGCCCGTGGACAAACCCTGCACGTGGGATTCAGCCTATGGGGCCAGGTTGAGGACCACTGGTTTAGACCGCTGATTCTCAGCCAGGGGGTAGCAGCACCCTTGGATGCCTTGATATCCTTCCAAGGGTGTTGCAGGGGACAATGTTCACACCATTAGGTGTGTAAACATGAGTCACAAGATAAATCCCGAGATTTCAAATAGGAATCTGTAATGTTAAATACATTCTGATCTGTTGGGAGTCTTTCTGAATTCTCTGCAACACAAGAATTGCTCTATTATTTTTCTATAGTCAAAAATCGAGTGAAAACTAACAGCTGACATTTTCCAAAGGTGCCTTGAGTCTAATGAGGGGTGCCTTGAGTCTAAAGAAGTTGAGGACCGCTGGTTTAGACTGTAAATTCCTTATGAGAGGGACAGCTTTGTACAGCACTAGCACAATAGGGCCCTGACCTGTACGAACTGCATCAATTGAAATAATAAATCAGAACAACAAAAGACTAACATGAAAACATGGGGGAAAGGTATAGATACAGAAAGTGACCTGATTAATAAGTAGCAAATGTGCAGTGCTGTATGAATATCTATATTGTTATCCCAAGCATCCAGACGAAACCAAAAAAAAAAAAAAATCAGAACTCATACAGTTTGTTTAATTACAAAGATGAACTGATCTGGAATTCAAATGCAGACATGAGTTTGCTGTAATTCTGTTCACCCACAAAGAAAACACAAAGTCCCTTTTTTCTGAATACAGGAGTCAAACTGCAGGAGACAATTTCATTGCCCAAAGGTCTCTGCCTCTTTTTGGCCACCACTTGGCCAAAAAAGCAATTTCTCTAAGTCATGTTGGGGTAAATTCCTTTTACATCAAAGGACTGCAGCATATCCATCACACTGAAAATCCTACTTCTGAGGCCCATCTTTTAATCCCTTCCCAACATATAAACATAAACCCACTCCTTCTCACTCTCTCATTCCTCCTAGCTAAGATTCAGATGCTCCCTCATCTCTTCTTCTGGCCCATCTATCTCTGTGGTAGCTGCTGCAGTCTGCAGCTTATCTGAGGTAGCACATACTGTCCTGGCACCTTTCCTCCCCCGCCATGCTTTGGCCTTCCAGCCCACGATACCCCCAAATATCCCTAAAGAAATCACCATGCCCATTTTAAAGGGGCAACATGCAATTGTAGTGAACTAATTAAGGATTCGTATGCCTTTCCCACATAATGCCTACACATCTTTGGATGCCAAATTCTTAAAAACCTTAGTAAAAAGAGTAGAAATTCAGTGGTCCTCTAGATAAAACTGCCAAAATGATGGCAGCCTGAACAGAGGTAAGGGTGCCGGTACTGCAAACATCCAGTGTTGTGCTAAGGCACCTACACTGCTTACAGTTCACAAGTCCCCAAAATGGAAGCAGTATTGTTAGCTAGGTGTGGGATAGCACATACATTGCCTCTAACCAGGACTCACTGGCACGTCTGCAATGCCATGCTAAACTGGCTACATGCCGTCTAGTTCAGGCCTAGAGCAGAAGCAGGCTGTCCAAGAGTGCTGCCTGTCACTGTAGCAAAGTAGATACTGTTCCTCTGGGATAAAGTAGAACAAAATCCCGATCCTGATTTTTTAAAAATTCCTTCAGGATGCTGGAAGTGTTTTTCAGCTTGGCATCATGCCAGCCAAACCAGGCGATCTGTAGCTTTACCCACAGGTTCATGTGTGGATTTGGAATAGTGTTTGCAAAGTGTGAGTGTATATATATACATGTCTCAAGTAACAGAAATAGTGGATAGGCAAGGATCCCATATTTTGTATATTAGAATATAAAAAAACTAAGGTGGGAAAGGACCTCAGGAGGTCACATCTAGTCCAACCCCTGCTCAAAGCAGGACCAGCCCCAACTAAATCATCCCAGCCCAGACTTTGTCTACCCAGGTCTTAAAAATATCCAAGGATGGAGATTCCACCACCTCTCTGGGTAGCCTGTTCCAGTGCTTTACTACCCTCCTCCTAAGAAAGTTTTTCCTAAACTCACCTTGCTGCAACTTGAGATCGTTGCTCCTTGTTCTGTCATCTGCCACCACTGAGAACAGGCCAGCTCCATCCTCTTTGTAATCACCCTTCAGATAGTTGAAGGCTGCTATTAAGACCCCCCTCAGCCTTCTCTTCTTCAAACTAAATAAGCCGAGTTTCCTTAGCCTGTCCTCAAAAGTCATGTGCCCCAGCCCCGAACCATTTTTCTTGCCCTCTGCTGGCCTCTCCAATTTGTCCGCAGCCTTTCTGTAGTGGGAGGCCCAAAACGGGACACAGTACTCCAGATGTGGCCTTGCCAGTGCCAAATAGAGAGGCATAATTACTTCCCTTGATCTGCTGGCAATGCTTCTTAACAATGCAGCCCAGTATGCCATTAGCCTTATTGTCCACTCTAACCCTCAGGTCCTTTTCTGCAGAGCTGCTGCCCAGCCAGTCAGTCCCCAGCCTGCACCGGTGCATGGGATTGTTCCATCCCAAGTGCAGGACTTTGCACTTGTCCTTATTGAACCTCATGAGGTTTTTTTTGGTCCAATCCTCCAATTTGTCAAGGCCTCTCTGAATCCTAGCCCTAGCCTCCAGCGTACCTACTGCTCCCCACAGGTTGGTATTTTCTGCAAACTTATTGAGAGTGCACTCCATCCCATCTTCCATGATGAACATACTGAACAAAACCATCTCTGGGACTAACCCCTGGGGCACTTCACTTGATACTGGCTGCCAACTAGACACATAGCCGTTGATTGCTACCCTCTCAGCCCAACAATTCAGCCAGTTTTCTATCCACCTTACAGTCCATTCATCCAACCTGTACTTCCTTGGCTTGCTTGCAAGAATGCTGTGGGAGACCGTATCAAAAGTCTTGCTCAAGTCAAGGTATATCATGCCCACTGCTTTCTCTGCATCCACAGAGCCAGTCATCTCATCGTAAAAGACAATCAGGTTGGTCAGGCACGACTTGCCCCTGGTGAATCCATGCCCACTGCTCCTAATCCACTTCTTTTCCAAGAGCTTAGAAATGGATTCCTTGAGGATCTGCTCTATGATTTTTCCAGGGGCTGAGGTGAGGCTGAATGGTCTGTAATTCCCTGGATCCTCCTTCTTCCATTTCTTAAAGATTGGCACTGTATTTGCCCTTTTCCAGTCATCCAGGACCTTTCCCAATCTCCACAAGTTTCCAAACATAATGACCAGCGGCTCTGCAATCCCAATTGACCAATTCCATCAACACCTTTGGGTGCACTGCGTTAGGTCCCATGGACTTGTGCACACCCAGCTTTTCCAAATAGTCCCTAACCCGTTTTTTCACCACTGTCAGCTGCTCACCTCCTCCCCAAACTGTGCTGCCAGGTGCAGTAGTCTGGGAGCTGACCTGTGAAGACTGAGGTGAAAAAGGCATCCAGAACTTCAGCCTTTTCCACATCATCTGTCACTAGGTTGCCTCCCCAGGGATGTAACACTTTCCCTGATCCTCCTCTTGCTGCTGGCATACTTGTAGAATCCCTTCATGTTACCTTTCACATCCTTTGCTAGCTGCAACTCCACTTGTGCTTTGAGCTTCCTGATTTCATCCTTGCATGCCTGAGCAACACTCTTATACTCCTCCCGAGTTGTTTGCCCAAGTTTCAGCTTTTTGTAACCTTCCTTTTTTGTGTTTTAGTTCACTGAAGAGTTCCTTGCTAAGGCAAGCTGGTCTTTTCACATACTTGCTCGGCTTTTGGTGCATCAGAATGGTTTGTTCCCATGCCCTCAGTAAGGTTTCTTTAAAATACAACCACCTTTAAAACTATTTCTTTAACATACAACTGGCTTCCTTAAAATACAGCTTATATTATCCATAAGACGGCACTGCTGCCCTCTTCCTTCACCTGCTCTTCCTCTATTCCTCTCCGTGGTTCCTCTACCTACCTCCTTTATTGTGTTATCAATGACATTTTTCATACAGGCACAGTATTTGTACAGTTGGTATATTTTTGCCTGCCTGCCTGTTGACCTTTCTATCTAAGCACTCCCATATACCTACAGAGTTTAAATTGGGTTCGGGGCAGGGGGGCACTCTCCTGGGAAAGGAGATTGAAAATTCAGAGCGTTTGGCACAGTCCAGAAGGCAAATAACACCAACTAGCTCCTCCAAAAGAGCCTCTGAGTCACAGATGAATATTATCCCCTGGCTAGAATGGTTTAGTGCATAGATAAAACCCAGCAGAGGAATCGTCGCTCCTCAGCCTGCCCTTTCTATGATTGCACGCAAGCAGTATTCTCTTCCGGCAGACTCGATTCTAACCTTTACTTCTAAAAAAAAGTATACTTAGAAGATAAAGTAGCAGACATGTTGGGAAGGAGAGAGCACTGGGCTGCTGAGTTCTCATCGTTGGCTCTGAAACTGACTCTTGAGCCTTAAAATAATTATTTTCCTTGTGTATTTCAGGTTCCCAGTTGTGATTTCCTGATAATAAAATCACATACTTATTCACTGTCGTGTGGGACGCACTAATATCTATATAAATCTTGCAAACAAAGCACAAGGGTTCTGCCTTTTTATAAGGATTTAAGGCTTGCTCCATTCATGCTTGTAATTCCTGGAGCATAAGACTTGATTTCAAAAGTGACACAGGTTTCAATGGGAGTTTTGCCTAACTAATCACTACTGAAAATGAAGTTATGTCTCCTAAGTCCGGTGTTAAAAAATAGATGAGGAAACACCAAAAAAGTACCTGTATTACAAAAGTGCTTGCTGATAGAAAGCCACTGGAGATACTCCTCACCAACACCCATGGGGCCTAGCGTGGTAGAGGGGATATTCCAAAAATCAGCATCTGTATCCACCACTACCACACAGTCCTATTTGAGATACCCGGTCCCACTTCTTGTGGGGGGGAAAGCAGCATGGCGGATATTACTGTCTGCTAACCCTATTTTGACGTGTACTTGCTAATTGACAGCCACTCTTACTTGATGCTGCCTGGATTCAGATGCTCCCATGGCCTGTCATTTATCCAATAAAATAACAAACATTACATGAAGTTAAAGATAAAATTGAAAGCGCTGTTAGAAAAAAAAAATTCAGTGAGTGTTTACTCTGCCTTCTAACATACAATCCTACATAAAACATAATCCATTTTAGATTAGAAGGGAGCCCTCTGGAAATATTAGCTAAACTTCACTAAAGAATGAATGGTTATTTAACTTACGGAAATTGGTGTGTTCAGATTCATAGGGCCTTATTTCACATCTGCATTACAGCAAAAGCTAGAATTACAGAACCATAAAGAATAATTCTGATGCTTCACACATGCAATGATCTTAGTATTAGAAATGTCCCCAATGATACAATATGGCCACAAGTACTTAACCACTTAATTAAAATCTAGAAATTCAAATGCAACCCACATTCAAATCAAATTGCCCTTCACAGCTGAATTTCAGTAACCTATGACCCTAAACAATACTAAACAATTAATAGTATTCTGTTTAACCAATGTTGGGACGTCCTCAGCAAGAGACAGCAGGTACCACTTTACCAGGTTAGACTGATAGGCTATTTCCGGGGTGAGAGGCAGGAGATGAGGCAGGGGAGGGGAAACACAGTACATGACACTTCATATATATAGTACAAGAAAATTACCTATTCTGAATGCACAGAATTGCAAATATGCTTCATAAAAACTGGTATGAAATGCCTGTTTGTTAAGTCAAAATCTTTGAGACTAAGAAGTCATATTTGTTCTCCAGCTTCTTTTAATTCTATTATAACGCAAGACAACTGTTAAATGGGGAAATCAGTAACAACCTATTATATGGTGGTAGAAATGTACTATTTTTAGAGCTGTAGGGAGTATTCTACCGAGGAGGAATTAATGCAGTTTAAAAAATTATCAGGCTTTCCAGCAGAATGTGGGAGATCAAAATGTTCTATTCTGTAGCAATAGAGAAAAGAAATTAGCTATGTACTCATTACTGACAGTTTGTGTGTGTTTGGAGACAATGCTCTGAGACAGGTTAAGACAAATTAGTGCGATAAAAGAAATTGAAAAATAAATTGTAACACAATTCTGAGGTCATGCATTTCAGGGAGCTTTTCTGTATTTAAGTCGGAGCAAGTAGAGAATGATTCAAGTCAACACTTACATCAGCTCTTAAATAAGATTTGTCATTTTACATTTCAAGCCTTCAATTAATGAAAGAACTTAAAATTAGTTATAGCATAATACTCCACAGTTGAACTAAGATCTGCGTGGTGCATACTGAATGAGCACTAGGCTGGGTAAACATACAACTAAAGTAGTCAAAAAAGAATACATCCTCCAGGCATCCGGGCAAACTTATCTTCCAGTCTTACAGAGAACTTGACATTAGGGCTGTGCGAAGCTTTGGACAGAGCTTTGGATCCGGAGGAGCTTCAGACGTTTCAGGGTCTGAAGCAGCACATCCGGGTCAACGCGCTGGTCTCATTCAGCTTCCCGAAGCGCTTCGGAGCTGCCTCGGAGATCCGACCATAGGGTATAATGGGGAAACAATAAAACATTTATGACTTTGTTGTTTTTTATCCAATTTGAATGAAATGCTCGGGGTGATAGACTCTGCAGAGAGAATGAAGCCTGCCAAGTTTCAAAAACATCAGTGCAGGGGTTTGGGGGAAACTGCACCCCAAATTCTCTCATGTCACGTCTAGGCATTACAACATAGGGTGGTCAAAACTGCAGGGATGGTAGCCTATGCTGAGGACACAAAGCCTGCCAAGTTTCAAGAAGATCGCTACAGGGGTTTGGGGGGAACTGCACCCCAAATTCTTGAAAGCAAAACTCCTGTCACGTGTATGTGTTACACCACAGGGCGGTCAAAACTGCAGGGGTGGTAGCTCTTGCTGAGGCCACGACGCCTGCCAAGTTTCAAGAAGATCAGTGCAGGGGTTTGGGAGGAACTGCTCCTCAAGCTGCGGACAAGCAAAACTCATGACATGGGTGACCCTGCATGTGTTCAGGCGTAGCGGGGTGACAGCTGCAGGGATGGTAGCCCCTGCTGCAGCCACGACGCCTGCCAGCTGTAGAGGAGATCGGTGCAGGGGTTCTGGGGCCCTGAACCCCTAACTGCTGACAGGCAGAACTCATGACATGGGTGCTGGTGGGACCGACTGTGTCTGTCTTGGGGCGTGGAAGACACTGCTGCAGGCCTGGCTGCTAAGCGACTGTGTTACCAGTTACCAATCAATCATGATTCACTCGGGGACCAGCTCAATACATAGGACCCAGCTAATGTAGC